TTTACAGTCGTGCAGAGATTTTATTTGGATGATAAACTGGGTGAAAAGCTTGTTGTAGTTAGTTTCTTAATTTCTTACGAGCTTAGTTTCTTGCAAGTAGGCGGTGAAATCAGAGGGGCTCCTACGCTTAACATTGATTTGGCAGCACTCCAAAAAAAAATATTAATTAAAAATAAATGATAGTAATAATAAAAAACCAACTAAACCAAAGGCCRCGATTGTTCAATGGATCGATAAGCGTATCTATTTAGGGAGTAGCAGATTGCTTCGTTAACACCAGTAACCGTGGCAATGCTTAAATCAACGTTGCAAACAAGAGGGACGAAGTCTGCCTCAAGTTTAAAAACACTACAGGAATCCGAACAACAAAGACAAAGTTATTCCCAGAAACATAGCCTCGCCCTGGAACCTGATAGCGCCACTCTCAATGCAATCTTTCTTTTCGTCTTCATCCAAGCGGGCGAATATTCTGCACGGCCCACCACTTCCACCGGCGATGAACATCGGTGCAGCATACACTGTGAACCCTTTTACTGGCAGCTTGTCCATGTGGGCGACATTTTCCAGGCCAGGGATGTTCTCTTTATAAAGAATCTGATGAGTTTCAAACAGCTTTGATTGACCGTAATCTATGGAAGGTGTGTCTATCCCCACCAACTTAATCTTACGATTGTTAACCAACCAGCGAGACGCGTTAGGGTGTATTCCTGTGGACAGAAACGCCTTTTGTCAAAAAGGGTCTCAAAACAGTAATATTGCAATCGATTTGTCTCAAAGTTTCTATATACTTTTGTACCTTTTAAAAGTTTGTTTCCACCTGAGTTTGATAGTTTTCTTTAGAAAAACTGCTCAAGTTTCAAGTTGGGTGTCAAAAATTGCTTGAGCATTCTTTAAAGTGGCTTACTACAGTTTTTCCGACACTCAGTAGCGCGCGCTACGATTGCCTGTCAGACGTCAGTATTAGTCGCGTGTGCAAAAGTAATGCAAGTAACCCTAAGAAGAAAAGAAAAACACCTCAGTACTTGAAGGGCGTTCAATCACTTCGGTGTACGTAGCGATAGTTTCAAGCTCTGTTCAAACATGTGCCTAGGGCCAAAAAATATGACACAAAAGGTCGATATTTTAAACAACCGGTAAACGAGCTCTAATTTACTCCCGCTCTCTCGCACGCGATATATGACGTTACAAGGGCGCGCGCTTAAATAAAGGGCATGCGTAATTCAATTCCCATCCAAGGTTGTAAAAGCCAGTCTTTGATCG